ACGTGTGCTGCTAATTGTAATTTCAACTTTATCACTAGCACAAGGACATCGCAGACTCCTGTTTGTGTTCTTATCCATTCTTTCGCATGCCTATTTTTTCCTGTTATTTTCAACGCACGCTTTTTCATGCTATGCTGCGTTGTTTGCAGTTTATGATTAGCTTGAGGGCCAACGTATCACATCTACACATTAACACTGGGAGCACATACTAAAGACCTTCTGTTTCATGCACAGGAGAAGTTTCTCTCAGAGAGGTCTGGATAACATAAGGTTGCCAAAAAAAGCTTAGCCTCAGTCTTTGTGGAATAGAAGTTGGAACTTGAAATTTTGCAAATTCGTTTTTAAAATTTATCGTACTATTTAATAAAAGCATGAAGTGTTTCTTCCAAAGGAAGTTTCTGGCGAATTTAGACACTTGAATTTAAAACCACCGTTTTGATTCTCTGAAAACGTTCCTTTGAAGTTACACCGCTCACTTTTAAAAACTTTAATTATGTGTAAAAATACAACAATCAATCAGACCTGAAGAGACAGACGTTGTTTGGATAGTTGAAGTAGACAAAGGTTGTGCTGTTGGCCCAAAGCTGAAACCCGTAGAAGTGACGGGCTTCGGCGTCAGAGAACCGAAGGCGAGCGATCCCATGGGGCTGAATGAAAAGCCGGACGTGGTGGCAGGAGTGGCGGTAGTTGCTCCGAACGCAAAGGTTCCAGCTGTGGGTTTGCCAAAAAGCGAGCCGCTTGCCGAAGTAGCGGCAGTACTCGACGCCGGGCTACCAAAGGAACCAGCGGCAGCTGGTTGAAGTCCAAAGTTGAACCCAGTCGGGGACGAACCAAACATCTGAAAAGCAAGTGGTGATGGTCAAAACAGTCACAAACTTATCTCGCGCATCACGGGAATTCTATGGATAAACGAATCAAAACTTTGAAACAAGAATAGTGAATGAATGCTATATACCTATGCAAGACCGTAGCCTGACACACCACAGTTGTTCAAAAATCAACGACATTGTCGCAGAAAGGCAGATATTTTCGGCCAAAGGTCAAACGTGGGAAATGGAAAGGAGTTAAGGAAGTGAAAAACACCCAGGATCGTGTGTTGTAAACGACACGGTAGCCGATAAAACATATAATGAAAGCATACTGCTTCAGCATTTAAACTGACTCTGATACCATTAAACCATTAGAACAAATGTATTTAAATAGCATGCCAGATCAAACATTTTATCATTCTGTTGACCCATTGATTGATGGCAAAATTAAAGCAGCAGAAAAATTAACTGACTTCATAGAAAGCAATGCCATTAGCCTAAGCGTGGAGGAATGGTGGTGGATAAAACAGCTAACACAAGATGATCAACCACAATTTGAAGACCAGTGAATGGAAAGTACAGTGTCTTAAGAGAAAACTCTGTTTTACAAAGTTTTTCAAGATGCGCACTGGTGTTCGCTATGTGTGCATGTAGTCTCTTTTCCTATTCATAACTTTCACGGACTGTTTCCGTACACACTGTCCAGACAAGGAGAACGACACAATTCGATGCGTTTCGACTGCCACCGCAAATGCTTTATTGATACTCGCTTCCAATAACATTTGTCTCGAATACACATATGATACGTTCGCAGATGGGTGTCACGAGGCCTGCATGATAATTAGACGGAGCAAAGAGGGGACTGATACATTACTGAGAGATGTTACTCACTGTGTTTTGCAGATTAGTGAATTGAAACTGGCACAAGTGAGCATTTCAGATATCTTGGGGTATCACTCATAAGTGATTATTGATAGCAGCACCGAAGTCTAGAACAGACTCCTCCCACATACTTGCAGATTGCAGGTTACTCTTTATCTTGGACGTCCCAGGACCTTCTGCCGGTCGGCTAAGCAAGGAATCGTTGCTTCGCCTTCCTTTCTTGTGACATTCCCAACATGTGCCCAAAATATCGCCGCTGTAAATTCACAGTGTGAAGAAGCAGCGGTTGTCCAATAAGGATCTCGCTGAAATCTGTACTACGAACCATGTCGTGACGCGAAGGCCAGCGATTCGTCTCAGAAGTCCATTTCTGCCACCTGTACCTTGGATCGAAGTTTTTTAATTATGATCCACGACTCATGACCGTAGGTAAACACGGGGATGACGATCAACTTGAACATCGAGAGCCTAGTCTTCACACTCACAATAGTTCAAGCTGCTTCACTGCAGAACGCCAATGGCCACTCCATTAAACTGGTCGATCTCTTTTTCACATTTTCCATCACCGGTAAACACGATCAAAAGGTACTTAAATTTCTCCACCTAATTCACGGCTTTTGCGTCTACCTGAAGAGAGAAACAGGTACGAAAAGTAGACAGCACTAGGTATTTTGTTTTAGATACGTTTATACGCATGTCCGCAACGTCGCACTTAACTGCGAACCTTTCCAGTGAGCACTGTAGATCGGTTCCAGAAGATGCCAATAAAACAAGGTCGTCTGCAAACAGCGACCTTCTTGTCTGCAGATCTCCTACACCGATACACTCATCGCCTTGGCTGCTCCTGACTATTCCACCCACGTACAACACAAACAGGAGAGAGGACAGGACGCAGCTTTAACGGAGACCAGTATCAACGCTGAAAGGTTTTGACTAAATGCTATTTACTCTGACACGGAACCCGCAATCAGCATATAATGATTGGATGGCCCGTAGCAACAGGCCATCGACCCCATATGTTCGCAGGCATGTCCAGAGGTTGTTGCGCTGGATCCGGTCATAGGTACTCTCTAAGTCAACAAAACATATGTATACGCATGAAAGAACTTTCACGATTACTCAACAATCTGGCGTAGGGCGAATATATGGTCAGAGGTGCTTCGCCCAGGCTGGAAGTCACAATACTCTTCTTGTATCTTCGAGTCAGTTACTCCGTGGCACCTCCTTCCTAATACTTTTGCGTAGACATTACCTGGGAGGCTCAATAACGCTATGCCCTATCATCTGAGCACTTCATGTAATCTCCTTTTTTGAATAGAGGTACACTCCCGTTCTTCAGTCCGTTGGGGTCTTCCCCGTAGTCATCGCAGTTTGACAGACGTGTGAAAGCCAGCACATGCCATGTTCACCTAATGCCTTGAGCATTTTAGGGCGGATTTCATCAATTACAGCAGTCTTTTCATTTTTCAAGCTTTTCACAGCTTGTGTAATTTCATGTGCAGAGACAGTAAT